CCCTCACACACACACACCCCCCAACCCCGCTGTACCTCACCACATAAATACTCTGTCCTCCCCGCCGTACCTCCATTTGTAACAAAAATATATTACGTATCTCTCTCTTTTTCTTAATCTGAAAGTGCCACAGAGACTGTCCTCCCGTCAGCTTCACTCACTGCCGAACAATTTGGCGTTGTCTCAAAGTAAGGCTTCGAGTCCATGACCAGCGGCGGGATGGCGGCTTGGTGGCCGCGCTTGCCCTGCCCCGCCCCCCTTGATCCCAGGCCCGCCTCCCCCCTCACAGACGCACAGGCGTAGTGGGCCGATGCTTTCCCACGTCCCGGGGACCTTAGGAGCAGCCGCACTCCTCCACGATCATGTTCTGGATGTCCTTCTTGACGATCTTCTGCTCCTCGTTGTAGTATAGCATGGACATGGCGCGGAGGCGCGTGGGCACGCAGCACGACTTGATGTTTGTGAAGGGGCTGTAGCCACGCATGCGGTAATGGTTGATCACCGTTGAGTGGAAGGAGAGGGAGGAGCCTGTGATGCTGGCCACGTGACTGGGGCAGTCACCCTCACAGTAGTTAGCGTGGTAACCGGTGGGGGCGATGATCCAGTCGTTCCAGCCGATGTCCTTGAAGTTGACGTGGAACTGCTTTTTGCAGCAGATGCGGATCTTGCCGTCACATTCAAGGCCTCGCTTGCGGCGCCGGTGTGGCTGGTTGCCGGCTTGGCGCACCACCACCATGAGGAAGGGCCTGTGGGACTGCTCGCGCTCGCGATTGGACGCCGGAGCCAGCACCGGCGTGGCGTTGGACTCGGCACACTGCTCGCAAGATACCGTCAGGCTCAGCGTGCTGGCGCCCTGCTCCAGCAGCTTCTGCACGGCGCCCGACACTGGGAACGTATGCCAGCCACTGCGGCGCGTGTCCACAGCCTTCTGTGCTATGGACACTTCACGGACCTGCCCGTCCGGGGCTTGCTGGCGCTGCAGCAGCCTGATGGTGACCCGGGCCCGGCTGCGGTTAGTCTTGGCCAGCTTGAGGAACAGCCAGACATTGGCCTGCTCCACCAGAGACATGTCGCTGCCTTCTTTCGAGATCTGAAAGTTGATGGCATCTGGAGAATCTCCTGGAAAGAGCAGAGAGGAAAGTTTCAGCTTGAGTATCAAGCAGCTGTTCACTGGCACCTGAAGGACCCCTGTGATTCAGGGCTGCCCAATGTCTGCCGGTTTTTCTGAATTCACCTCAACCCCATTTGGCTTACTACTGCCCATATTATGGAATATCTGCAGAGAGATGGAGATGGCGGCATATGACAAAGGGTCACGGATGGATTCGAAAGCGATCTTTACAAAAATGCAGCAAAACATGCCATTAATTATTTAGAGAAGCGTGCAAAAAGGCCACCACCTCTAACACACGGATGACGTCCTTATAACAGCTGAACAAAATTCTGGCAGAAGCAGCGCTAAAGCACAGAGCTTAAAGCCATGCTTTCTCCTGTCTCCCATCCGTATGGCTGTCTGCACGTCTTCTCCGACACCACATCATCCCCTCGGTGCCGGTGTGGACGTCAGGCACGTTCAGTGTGTTACACCAAGAGTCGCAATCAAAATCAAGAGACCCCTGTAAGCTTCCAGGAGGCTCACCATGCACTTTCAGTAGCCCTCGGCCAACACGCCTCCTTCAGGCCATGTTCCTACGGTGCGGCTATCCTAAACCCTGACAAGGTGGACCCTGCTACTCCTTGCCATATGGCTGGGAACCAGCAAGGAGCAGCAGCCAGAAGAAGCTCAGATTGGTGTAACTCTTTCCCGACACTCGATGATGCAACCGGCCTGTATGTCTGGTCATAGGAGACGCCGGCGGGCTGTTTATGAGATAAGAGCTGCATTTTAATCCAGACTACACACAGTAATAATAACAATAGCATAACATCAGTGTGTGTGTAAACTAAACAGCCATCACAGAGCTGTCCAAACACAGCTGCGGATGGGGAAGTATGAGTAGCCGGCCTGCCGTCTGCCTGTGCCCCCAACACTGGTGGACGAGGGGGGCGAATGCAGGCCTTCAGGTGGAAGATCTCACCTGGAAGTTGCTTTGGGCCATGGGACACAAGTCCCGGGACGATAGAGGGAGAAGACACACATCGTCAGACCGCCCCCTGCCACACAAAAAATAACTGCATAGCTCCAGCAGACACAAAGACGGATTTGCACATCCCTGTCCTCACCCTGAGGATTCAGGGACAGGGGAGTCTGACAGTTTACTAAACTGCCTCTCCAAGAGCAGCATGTTCAATAAACAGCCTCTTCCTCACATTGGAGGCTGGGCCGCTCCAACCAGTTAATGTTCCACATCAAGGAGAGCTGTGGTTGTATTGGTGAGAGCTGTCCAGAAGTGTGGCCCTCAGACCCTCGCAGGAGAGGCTCCCTCTCATTTCTGAAGGGTGAAGCTCGACATCGGCCGGGATCCCAAACCCTGCACCTTCTCTAGCTGAAAGCTTTATAAGGCACCAGTTTCAGATGCTCACTGTAGACATGGTTCTCATCCGGCACTTATGTTACACTCATCTCCCTTGTGACGCAGCTACCTGTCCACAAAGCTGAAACTACTCATATAATAAAAAACAGCTCAAGAATGTAGAAAAAAATAACATTAAAGTTGTAGTGTTAATCCACAGCAAAGCTAATATTTGCACAGTTTATCTGTCCTGATTCGGGTTATAGCTAGCCTGTCCTCTGGGGGGCGCTCAGGGGTCACACCGATGGGCTGGTTACTGCTGTCACATAGGGACAATGACAGGGTGGGCTGTGCTCTTGTAAGCTCACTGTACTTCCTGCTAACTGCTCATGGCCCGACTCTAAAGACCATAGTGCCACAGGCGAGGGGTACTGGGGGGGGGGGGGGGGTAGTCCGCAGTCCGTGAGTACTGAAAGTGTGCCAAAGGTCAGCCACGCCCCCCTCTCACGGTCTCTGTTCAACTGGAGGTGAATCTATGGCCTGGGACAGGGATCCACAACAGAGCCATAGCAGGCGAGGTGGTGAATTACAGCCTCCTGACAATTCTAACCTTTCTGGGATCTGCTGAGGAAGCCCTCATCTCACACTCTCTCTCCCAGGCGGGGACAAATGCTTGGCAGGTCGGTGAAAAACTGAACATAAGTCTCTCCATTCTCTTCTCATCAGACTGTCCATCCGACAGTCGAGGGCACAGCTGTACGATATCCCCAATTACAGTGGCCATCATACATCGCGATTTGTACATAACAAACATGGCTTGGGTTTCCTAAGCTGGTAAAAGTGATTTTCTTTGATCTAGCGTCCACTAATTGCCAGAAAGTAGGTTACAGGAGCATAAAACCAAATGCACATCGGCCAGCCGTGTGATGGGTTTCCATGAATTAAGCCCGGGAATGACACCCCCTAATAAATGATGACAGGGCAGGCCTGGACCGGGCAGGGGGGTGGAGGACAAACATGCTAGGACTCCCTGACAGCTTGGAAAATTCCGAAGCTTCAGGACTCTGCCCCGGAAACAGGAAAATGGCCCGAAGCGTCATTTAAGCCACGAAACATAGGAACCGGGAGAGGTTTCACTTCAGCTTCCCGAAAATGGCCAACCGCGATTTGAGTGGCACGTTCCTGTTCTGATGTCGTCTCATGCAGCTTCCTCTTCATGATCGCATTGGTCGTGTGATGTTCGGGGGTGTGAGGTGGACGTCACAGGCTACGGTGGTATGTTCAGCAAACAGCAAATTTATGAATGAACCTCTGAGCTGGAAAGCTCCCCTGCCCCCCCACCCCAAAAAAGCATGGCCTTATTGGTCCGTTTAGTGAGGCGCCTTAGAAAATCCCAGGGAAGGGAGCCCAGCGGACATGTGACCGGAGCGCCACTAACAGCCTACTTTCTGACGGGCGTATCTATTCAGAACATCCATCGCAAGGACCCCCGCCATCAGACAGTCCCCAGAAATAACATTCGGCTGAATGGTGCTATTCCACACTGGTGCCAGTCCTGTGATTTGGACTGGACCCGGTCCTTCTCAGCTGCCGGTAACACCCTCAGCTTCACACATCTTCGATGGACCCTTATCCCAGCGGGCTGCACAAAGCCTGGAGTTTCTTTGGCACATAAATACTCTTTATACGGTTCTTCTATGCCATTACATTGCCCTATAAACTGGACCGGACCCCTCAGCCACAGCAACCACAGCCAAATCAACAGCACTGCAGCAGCCTGCACTTCAAGGCGAATATGCCAGGGAAATGTGTCGGGAAAATGACGAACAATGAACGTTACGGGAATAAACCTTGGCAGCCCGGCGTACAGTAACATGTACAGTAAGAAGCGTCTAACTTTATTTAAATGAGTATCTGCAGAGCACCTGAGGACAGGAAGGTTGTTCATTTTTCACTTTTAACTTGAAAAGCTCCCAGAGCCTGAAAGACGACAGGCACTTCGGCAGACAGGAGCGATTAGTGCGCTTCCTGCCCCGAGGGATAGGGAGCGGGAGCGGCCGGCTGTCCCAGCAGCACACGCTGCTGTTTGTGCAGCTCTCATGTTCAACTGGAGGGGAAAGTCGATTCCGGCGTGTGGGTAAATACGGGGGAAGCCTGGTCCCGGGGGGGTTAAGGGAGTCGGCATCTCCAGCTGGTCGGGGGACTTCCGTCTCCCGCTTCCCTGCTCCGCTAACAGGGAGTGGATTCCGCGGCTCAGGGGGATGGGCTCTGCTCACCACGTGGCTCCGCTAGCCAGGAGGTTGGTCTCGGCGCCGGTCCCGTGCAGCCTTCGGGTGTCAAACCCCTGGCTGTGGGTGTCCAGCTCCTGGAACCCTCCCAGCTGAGTGCGGTGCCCCCCACCCCCCACGGACTGCTGCGCTCGCCTGCATTCCTTCAGGTGCTGTTTATTTAGTGACTCGCTCTCCCAGTGCCGTAACTCTGCGGCTGCCTTCCAGCTCCACGTCCCCCAACCCCCCCCCACCCCTCCCCAAACCCTCCTCTGTTGCTTCATGCTGAACTTCTCAGCTGGTGTCAAAACCAGTCGCGGGGCAGTGAAGCCAGTCAGCATCACTCCCCTGTAACTGTGTCAGTACCGGTAAAACCACTGTTACCCGCACCCCTGACCAATGGAGAGCCAACGGGGGGGGGGGGGGGGTTAGAACCTTGACCACACTCTGCTAGAAGCACGTGGACAGCATGTTATGCTGGGAGAGTGCCCCCGCGGACGGGGTTACGTGACCCTGCACCGGATAGCCCCCCCCACCCTAACCCCGGCAGCGGGAGCCTTTACAGAAGCCGGTGGTGGGGCAGCCCCCACGATCACACTTACAAAAGCCCTACACGGGGCCGCAGCCCAGGGCAGCGGGTCTTTACACATGATTACGGTGCGATTCTTTTGAGCAGCAGGAGGTAACCA